GTAGCCGATGAAATGTTGTGTCCGCAGAATATGATTGTTGAGGACGAGGATGAAGGTGTAGTCCGAACCCGTGATTTTGAGAAGGCTAGAGAACAAGTCCACATTCCAGAACAAGATGTAGATCAAATTATGATTTTTTTATAGATGCATCAGAATCTATAAAATGAACATGTGCACGTGCAACTACTCAATGATCTTGTGGAGTATATGTGGACTCACGATAAAAATCGGGAAGAAAACCAAGGAGTTTATTGTTTGAATTGTGCACTTCAAATAAATTTTATGCTTGAACTATGCATTTTCACTATGAATAAATGTTATTTTACCTGTGATATTCATTTGCATGGATTTGAGCGTTTTCATATGAGTGTGACTGTTCGATAGGACATATGAAGGGTGACCGGTCACTTTCTATGAATGTTACCGGACGCGTTCGCGGATGTACTTGAGACTAGATTATCTAGATCCAACCACTGGCAGAGGACTCCAGTGGGCAGGTTATAGCGGCTGCCATACCTTAATTTTTAGCAAAAAATATTTTATAGATATGCATGCCATCCAGTTCTGGTCGATTCGCTGTCTCATTCGGTAATCTTACGCTATCGCTGGACGCTGGCCTGATGGGCCGACACAGCCAGTGTATTGGGCCAGGGCTCGTCCACTCACTCATGACTCGCCAGGTTCGAGCGCCCATGCAGGCACGCACGAAGCAGAGACGCCTAGGCGCGACCGGTGGCGGCTCCAACGGCAGCTCCACGCGACGACGGCAGGAGACAGCGGCGAGTGACGGTAGGAACGCAGGGTGCATGCAGTCCGGCGCAGTTTCGTGCTTCCGGCCAGAAGATACTAGAAAGGAAGGGGAAGAGGCGGAAAATGCCATCGGAGGCCGAGCTCCACTGAGCTCGTTTTCATTTTTTATTTTTCTGGAGCACGAAAAATTCCAAATTTATTTTTTGAACACACATGCACATGTATACTATGTATATTGAAAATTTCACAGTATTATACGTTTACATGTGGCCTACAGGAAAAAGGCAAATACACATTTTTTAATGGGCCTTTTATTTTTGTTATTGGGCCAGAAATTTGTTATTTTTGTACAGCCTACAAATCACAACATTTTTCGACAAAATTTAACACGTTCTTGCGGAATACATATAAGTTTTCATGATATTTTTTTAGATTTTTTTGGAACTTTTAAATACGCTTTTTGATTTTTTTTCAAAATACCAAGCTCACTGGAGCTCGGCCTCCAAAAATCTACACTGTAGGGGAAGAGGTATATTTCTTCTCTGAAATTTAGTACTCCCTCCGGTCCTTTTTACTCCGCATATTAGAGTTGTGTCAAGTCAAACTTTATAAACTTTGACCAAATTTATATTAAAAAATATCAACATATACAATACCAAATATATATACTATGAAACTACATTTCATAATGAATCCAATAATATTAATTTGACATTGTGAATGTTAATATTTTTTTCTAAAAATTTGGTCAAAGTAGAGATGCTTTGACTTCGGACAAAACTTATATACAGACTAAAAAGGATAGGAGGGAGTAAGTAGCAATTTTTAACAGCAGCTCAAATCCAAGCAGATTTTAGTGACAAATTGATATTGTTTTTCTATTGAAACATGTCTACATTTTTATTATATTTGGTTATTTTCTATTGAAACATGTCTACATTTTTATTATATCTGGCTATTCATTTGTAGTGTGCATTGTTAGTGTGTGTTAGCTCTTTTAATTTGCGTAAAATAAAATCTTTGCTTAAGACTTCGCCTTATCATAAATAAAAAAATTGTCCTCCGCCTCTGCGTCCAACCGTAGATACTCTTAATGCACGTAGTATCTCATCTAAAGTATTAATGCATTGGAAAAGTCCTCAGGACGATAAAATGTCATTTCAGGAACAAGTAAAGGTGAGGTGACATTTGGCGAGGCGAAGTGGCCACATGGGACATGGCCTAGGAGAGGAACTGAGGAAGAGTACGTGGAACTCATGGAGCACATGAGCACGTGCGGACGCTTAATGCAAAAGCGAAACCATTTTGGGTGTGGGAGCCAACGACAAAAGCAAGTGAACCAACAAAACTTATTTGGTTGCTTTTTTATGCATCCTGGATTGGCTAGCTAGACGTCGCCAAATTTTTCTTCATGCTCAGCTCAACTGGTATAATTGCCACAGCCATAAAAAAAAAAGACAAATTGCAGCATAATTGCACTCTAGTTGACTTGAATGATTGAGTGCGTGTGCCGGCTCTATGTTTCGGAGGGCCCTTGGCCGAACTCGCGATATGGGCCCCATGTACGTGTTTGCATACTTTATAAACATGTGTATGTCTAACTTCATTTGCAAAATATTAAGAGTGTTCACCCGCAAAAAAAAATATTAAGAGTGTTTTTTCAGCTATACATCCCCAGTTTGAGAACTCTAACAATAATTGCTGGAAAATTTCATATTATAATAGAAAGACAAAAGACAGCAAAATGAAACTAATAAGATCACCACAAATAATAATCAAATTCTAGTGACTCCGTTCACAACAATAGTAATGCGTCAGTGCTTCAAAAAATTTCTTCAGGCATTTCTTTTATTTTTCCCCGTTTTGCAGCACCTGACAAATGTTTGGGAGGAAACATTGCTAGACTAATGACCTAAAATTATGAAAAGAAGAAGTACTCCTTAAGTACATAAGCAGTTCAGCACCTTAACAATCATGCACCCTGTATCCTGAAATTGGGGATGGATGATTATATAGGTACTTTTGAAAGACCGAGAGGACGATGATCGATGAACTCGCACAGTCACACCATCACAGCCTCGCGGATGGTAAGAGCAAGACGGGCCAACGACGGCACGACGACAACCCAACACCAGCAGTCAGCTGGCTAAACCGGCGGCAACCGGCAAGGCCCTGAGCGGTGAGCGGCGGCAAGAATCCGGAGTGAGGGTGAGACGAGGAAGCGATTGATGAATCATTGATTTTGGAGATGGATAGATGCGTGCGACTCTGCGAGATGCGGCCGTGTGACGCTTAACCTTTTTTTCCTAGCGCTTGCATCCTAGCAATGAGCCAGTAATTGGGCCAAGCCCACCACGCTGCTCCCCACTTCTTCTTCTTCTCATTTTTTAGTAGGCTATAGCATACCAGATTGTGGGCTCCCTTAAGACCTGGGCCCTAGGCGGTGGCCTCTCTGGCCATACACCAGGGCGGGCCCTGTGTTAACAAAAAAAGAGATGAGAAAACTTGTGCTTATTTTCAATTCGACCGGTGCAACAACCTCCTAGCCTTGCATTAGTTAATGAAAGGTAGGTGTTATATATGAAGCTTCTACCTTTAGCTGAAGCGGTAAACCAAGAGAACAAGACCAATGCAATGCGAGCAGCTGAGTTTCTGGGGCCACCTAGAGCAGTGTGAAAGTGTAGATAGTAGAGATGGGGGTAGAAGGTATCAGCAAAATGTTGACTGTCCAATCTAAATTTTCCACACGTACGTTGGGGTTTTTGGTTTATATTAACAATGTGCTTGTTGGACATTTGCCCAACAGTTGTAGCATCATAATTGGCAAATTTTCTCCAATACATAGATGTCTACTGGCACAATTGTTCCTTCACTAATTGGACACATGCATACAATCTGTTTATCTGCTTCATTGACATCTTAGCATTAGGGACCCTCGTGTGTAACTTTCAGTTTTTTTTCGTGTTTTTATGTTTCGCATGACACATGTCTTCTTTGGGCCCATCTAGTAGTTTCAGTGTGTGTTTGTACCTATATGTATCCCTGATGATGCTTAATGGTGCTGCATCATTATACTCTTCAAACATGCATGAAACTGTTTGGATGTGATATAAGGGAGAACATCAGGTGCTCCCACGACTTGGATGCTACGGTGATACAAACTTCTGGGAGCCGCTGTATCTGAGATCTAACAGCTCTCAGGAGGTCTAAAGTTTTGCAAAAAAGCCTTCAAAGAGTATAATAATTGCGCACAAGTACAGAAGCTGCTCAAATATCATTGGAGCTCATATAGTGAACAACATTTCATTTCATTGTGCATTCCTTTGTGCCGCACAATGTAGTGAACATCATTCTCTAGCAGGGATGTAACCATGGAGTGGGATGCGATGGCCTGGCCGATAAAACGTCATTTCATTTCGGGTGCACGGTTTTATCATCATCAAACACCCGGCCACAACCACAAAGCAGAAAGGAGCAAGCACCAAAAAGGGTTGGTTCGTTCGTTCGTTGGTTGGCTCGTTTGCTTTTGCCCGCCGTTCGCTCCCACGCCCAAAACGAACGCTTTCGCTTTTGCATTAAGCGTCCACGCGTGCTCCCGTCCCCATCCCAGTGAGTGCCGTGTACTCCTCCTCCCAGGCCTTGTCCCATGAGGCCAGGCCACCTCCCCTCGCCAAATGGCAATCGCCACCGCCACGCTAAGCCCATCATCATCAAATAATTTTCTCAACCGGCGGCAGGTGAGGTGACACCGTGCCAGATCCGGCCCTCCTCGTCGGTGGAGTTTTACCCAAGCCGCCCGCTTCACCTTCAATTTAACCGTCCGCCTCACGTCGGCAAGGCCAAGGCCAAGGCAGTAGGGGACGGCGACGAGGGAGACCACACCTGCACACCACTGTGGGTGTGGGTGGGGCAGTGGGATTGGGAAGGAAGGAGGAACCGTCCTCGTCTGGTCTGCCCACGCGCTTCCATTCCAAGGGAGGATCACATGCTCGCTCCCGGACGACGGACACCTACCAATTCTGCAGATCATCGGCCCCTCGCCGCCACCGCCACCGCCATCTCTGCGGCGCCGCGCTCCTAATCCCCACCCACCCGGATCGCTCCGCCACTCGCGCCTTAAGTGGCCTCCCTCCGAGTCATCTGCGGGCGGGCGGCTTCGCTGAGGCATCGGTCCTCCGCGGATCTGATTTGGCCGCGCGCGATCCGGCCATCGAGGGGATGCGGGGGGAGGAGGGGCGGAGGTGGAGGCGATGAGCGGCGCCGCCTCGCTGGGGCTGCGCACCGGGAGCTGCGGCTCCTTGCCCGCGGCGGGCGCCGGCGCCGGCGCCGCCGTCCCCGTCGGGAGGAAAGCCCGGGGCTGGGGCCTGCGCGCCGGCGCCGGCGGCGGGGACAAGGAGCGCCTGCAGCTGCTGCACCGCGCGCTGCGCCTCGTCGGCCGCCGCGGGGCCGGACTGCTCCTGCTGCTCGCCGTCGCCTCCGCCGCGCTCTTCTGCTCCCTCTTCGCCGTCGTCAAAGGTGATCCCTTTGACTCTGGTTTGGATTTTTCCGCTCTCTGCTCCTGGCCGCAGCGAAATGTTCTGCAGCTTGTTCGGGTCACGCGGCTGGCGTTTCTGAAATTCGGGTTGGTTTTGGGAATTTCATATGGTTTAAACAATAGTAGAATGTTGTCCGTGCAGATTGTGTGACCCTCCCCACGTCCTTAGTGCTCTTCTTCTCCATCGTTTCACGCTCTAGGTAGCTGCTGACCAATTCCCTTGCTACTGTTCTATCCATTTTGGTTCATGCTTGCCATAGTTCTCGAGGTCTGAAACATTTCAAATGGGCAGGGTTTAGCTCCGCTCAGCTTTTGTAGGCCCAGTCTTTAGATGACCTAACCACCTAGTAACCGAATGAAATAATCAAACTGGTGTCCAGATATCAAACTCGTTTGCTGATCAAAACCTTACAGGGTAGCTGCAGCTAATGTGCCACGCTTTTCTTAGGGAATATTCCAACATGTATTCTGCCCAAGAGTTAATAATTCAAAACAAATGTTGCTTTATAATACAATATAAAACTAATGCATGATGTTGTTTCAGATGACAATACTTCTTCAATTATCATTGCTAGCAACTACGAAGTCACGAACGCCATCCAGAATTCTGTATACCCCAGCACGACAAGGCCTCTGATGATGTCCAATGACCACAACAAATTCGAGCATCCAAATCGGCTTCATCTTTCACCTGGAAACTTCACAAATCATCCTTGTGAAGGTTTTGCAGTTCCTCCTATCCTGTTTGATAAGAAACGCACTGGGCCTCGACGTAAGCTTAGTTCTTTGCATTTTCTTTTCTACTTGGCATTGCAAAATCTTTTGTCCCAATCATGTACCTTATCGTCTGATCTCTTCTCACCCCTCCCTGTAGCATGCCCTGTTTGCTATGTCTCGGTAGATCAGGCATTTGCTCTGATGCCTCTACAAGCTTCGCCATCTCCTGTTCTTGAAAACTTAGATTATGCCTTGGAAGACAGCGTCACAGCAAATTTCTCAAATCCGGGCTCTGCATTTGGAGGGCATCTATCTCTGGAGCAGAGAAATAAATCTTTTGACATTACCAATTCGATGACTGTCCACTGTGGGTATGTTACATGCATCTGCTGTTCCAGAATTCCAGATTAAGTCCCTGGCTTGTCCAAAAGATTAGCCTTTGAACTATGAAATGTGAATATCAATCAACATTGTTTGCGCTGTTTTATCAGATTTGTTAGAGGAAAGAAACCTGGCCAAGGTACCGGATTTGACATCAGTGATGATGATCTGCTAGAAATGGAGCAATGCCGTGAGCTTGTTGTAGCTTCTGCCATTTTCGGTAACTAGCACTGTTGACCAATAGTTGTAACCTTTTGTTGCACTCAATTATCTGCTCACAATTTGATACCATTGTCCAGGGAACTATGATATGATTCAACATCCAAGGAATGTCAGTGAACTGTCAAAGGCAAATGCGTGTTTTTATATGTTTGTAGACGAAGAAACAATGGCTTATGTCAAGAATTCCAGCTCACTGTACAAAGATAATAAAGTTGGCTTATGGAGGCTAGTGGTTGTCCGGAACCTCCCTTATGAAGATCCAAGGCGCACGGGGAAGGTACCTTTGCCAGCTACTTTCTACTTGAACATGCAGTCACAATATGAACACATCATGTGCAATTCATGATAAATTAAATACTTAAATCAAATATTAACTACATGAACAAAGCAAGTGAAGTCTGTAAGGTGATAGTATGCATGGCAAACTTGTTGAGGGGCTACTGTGCAAAACATGCCTTTGTCTTCAGTTGTCTCATATTTTAACCAGTTTACCAGAGATTCAGAATCTGATGACTTGCTGATTTGCCTTTGCCTGGTTCCTTAAACCTTACTCTCAGTTTTGGGACCATTTTATAGCCTATAAGCTTGGTCGTTGAGACCACATGTCATCATGCAAGAGATTGTAAGTTTATGTCCAGATGTCTAAATGAGTATTCTTCTAGGAGGTTTTAGTTCCAACATTTTAAGTAGTTCAATTGAAGAAATCTAGCAATTAATGCCCTACGACAAGTTTATCTGTATCTATATGTTGTTATGAGCATGTTGAATGACCAAATACTTTATTGGTGCAGATTCCCAAGCTTCTGCTCCATAGGCTATTTCCAAATGTAAGATTTTCAGTTTGGATAGACGCAAAGCTTCAGCTTGTTGTGGATCCTTATTTACTGCTTGAGAGGTATGCTTGACGTAAAGAGCTTGGTTTATTATGTGTTATTTCTTGGTGAGTCTGTTCTTAAGGAGAAAGCTTGTTGTAGATCCTTATTTTGCTGCTTCAGAGGTATGCTTGATGTAAAGAGCTTGATGTATTATGTGTTATTTCTTGTTGAGTCTGTTCTAAAGGAGAAAAATCTGCCAAATATTTAGTCTCGTGTCAAATGTGGGCCTGCCATATTTAAATCAGTGGGGTTAGAGAATGGTCCGATTTATCCTCATTGGAGTATCGAAATTGCATACATCCAACTGTTATCTTGCGCATCTTTTGTCCCTGATGCTCCTGTCACCTGTACTGTTGAGCCTGACTATTTATTCTACCAATCAGGTTTCTGTGGAGAAAGAATTCTAGTTTTGCGATATCTCGGCACTACAGACGTTTTGATGTGTATGAAGAAGCAGAAGCTAATAAAGCTGCTGGAAAGTATGACAATGCATCAATCGATGAACAAATAGATTTCTACAGAAATGAGGGCCTAACACATTATTCTCCCGCCAAGCTTCCTATCACAAGTGGTCAGTGGACTCACCGGAGTGTAAATCATGCATGATTCATGCACTGTTTGGTTTCATTCTCAGACATTAATCTTTTTCCCTTTCGCATTGTGTGCAGACGTCCCGGAAGGCTGTGTGATCATCAGAGAACACGTCCCCATCTCGAACCTCTTCACATGTCTTTGGTTCAATGAAGTTGAGCGCTTCACCGCCAGGGATCAAATCAGCTTCAGCACCGTCCGGGACAAAATAAGGGCTAAAGTCGGCTGGATGCCCCAGATGTTCCTGGACTGCGAAAGGCGCAACTTTGTTGTCCAGGTAGTACATCTTCCCCGGTTCCATCTTTGGCCACGGAGAACTTGTTTCATGAACAACTACCTTACGGTTACCGCACGTCTCAACAACTACCGAGCAATTTGGCCTACAGGCAGGCACAGCACATGGCTCACCTGTTCATCTCATGATTTACCTCATTTGTCCAGGCATACCACAGGGAGCTGCTAGAGCAAATGATCGCGTCCGGCAGGAACACGCCTCCCATCGCGGTCGAACCATCGCGGAAAATCAGACCAGGTAGCAGCAGGAGAGCTCCCCCGTCGAAGAAGCCTGTCGTGAGACGGAAAAAGGAGAAGAAATCGAGCTCGCGGAGGCGGGTCGCGAAGCCGGTTACCTGGGCGATGGATGCTGTGTGACGGAGGTTCACCGGGATGGACGGACGGACTCCTGTCACTCGATAGTTGGGGGTGACCGTATGTATGGCAGCTGGTGCCACTAGGTGGGGAGAGGGAGAGAGAGAGAGGGAATGGAGGATTGTAATTTTTTGCCGGCCACGAAATGGAATTTGTTCATAGCCAATTCTTCATTGTTGTTGTAAATAACAGCGGAAAGCAGTGTCATTCAATTGAGCCCGGCCTGTTTTGGGTCGAGTTATTACAGTGAACTCAAAGCAAAAAGTGGGGACTAGGCAAAACCTGTTCTGTGAGGTGTAAAAAGTAGGA